AGAAGCATTAAACTTTTCAAAAATTATAGTTCAATGCAATATTTTAAAACAAGATATTTAAAACAATATATGTATGATTTGTTATTACGATATAAATCCAGTTAGATAAACATTATCAGCAAGAAAATTCTTTCTTTTTCAATTGTATGAGGTATTCAAAAATAAATACGTCAATAACGTATACTTAATAAACCATAATCTTATAATCATAATAACTTATCTATGCATTAAGCGGCACGGACTCACTTGACCTGAATGACGCAGTAAAATAGCATAATTAAACGTACGCCGCGGTTTTTTTTTCTCATTTCATAGCTTGTTGCGAAAGCGTTTTGTAAATTAGATCGTTACTCGAACACTTGGTGTACTGAATGCGTAGCCGCGTGTATGCAGTGCTGTTTCGATAATACGCGTAGCAACGGTGAGCAAATGGATCATCCAATGTTGCATATATCGAGATGCAAATGCAACGTGCGGATTTAAACCTAAGAGCAAAATTAGGTTAATCTTGATCCTCGGCACGTTAGTAATTCGAATCTATTAATGAATCAATCAGTGATCAGACTTGTGTTAAATCCATTTAGCCAATTGAATCTAAAAGCGATTAATGCATTACTGTCGCGAGTCCAGCAAACTCTAATTTTGTAATGATTAATTCTACGAAATTTCCACTATAAATGCAATTTACAGTGACTAGAATTCAAATAGAAAAAAAAACATGTATAACAAATCTATCTTCTGTTTATTTAGTTTATTCCTTGAAGTGCACTCAAAGGAAGCGGAAAATGAACTAATAATCATGCGATACCCTGATAAACGTATAACATCCGAATGAATGCTATGCGAAATGCAGGCAGGATGACACGGAGATTTTTCAATGCTCTAATTGAGCGATGGATATAGCATGCATATGCAATCATTTTTGCTCGCTCATCGATGAGCCGACTTGTTTACTGTAACTGGTAACGCGTATGCGCGCTACACCATCACATTACATAGGAGGAAGTTTCTTCTGGATCTCGTACCCATGCGCGCATTTTGTTTCATGAATAAAATTTCTCCAATTTCACATTCTCGTGTTATGTAAAAATTGGAGCAAAAGCGCGATGCGTATCGCTGCTACGACGGCGATGGCGGCGGCGTAGATATTACAGCGCGAAGTCGCGGCATCGCTTTGCAAATGCAATGTTACGAAGGCCTGAACGCGTGTGCGAAGAGCGATGTGTGCACGAGTCGTCACCTTAGGCGAGGGGTATTCTTCGCTGAAAATTGAGCTGGCAAGGCTGGATATGTAGGGATGGAATACATAAACCTGTACACGGCGAATGCATCGCTCGTGATATTGCAATTCCTGATATGAATAAATAAATATATAATATAGATGAGAACGAGCGCTTGTACGTGTAGTATTTGATGCAAAAAAGACATGTTATAATTACGATACATCGGATATTTGCTTTAGATAAAGAAGATATTCACGATAAATAATACCAGTTATTCATATATATATGAAATCTTCGTTATCAATTTGAGTTGAAGACTAATGAGAAGAGAATACAAAGAAATTAGTAAAAAAGAAGAAATAATAAAAAATAAAATAATTAAAAACTGTATATTGATTTTAAAGTGCGAGACATGAAATATTATGTTTAGTGATCGTTAATGATATTATTAACTTTTTAAATAAATAATTTGTTATTAAAATTGTATATGTATAAATTTTACTATTTCGGAAATTATTGTAATTTATTATTAGCAAGTGATTAGCAAGTTACAGAGAAATTTACAATTACGATAAATTATAATTATTACATATGGTTTTTGATTTATTTGCTTATCTCGAATATATATATATTGTCTCGTACGTTGTAAAAATCAAACTATGTGAATAAATAAGTTTTATCGATAAAATAATTTTAATACCGAGGTAATCCTATATCGCGCGCCCCTTTTCAAACGGAGTAAATCTCGGCACCTCCATTTCGATTCGATTCACGAGTATATCGGATCTGCACGTCGCCGAGAAAGTCGTTTTATCACAGAAGCGTATCCCTGAATATTGATCACGCGAGCCAATCGATACTCTATCGATTTGTGAAAATCGCTCAATAATTCAGAACAATCGCGGAACTGGATTCTGACTTTTGATTCCGATAGCAACAGCGTAAAAGTCGTAAGTTGTGGAGCATGATTGTTAGTTCCACAAAAACATTGCATTCAAATGAGACAACGGATTAATAATTGTTCTGCATTCAGCGAAATTACAAGTTAGATCGATGAGATCGGTTGATCGCGTAATTGTGCCATAATCACGAATTCGTTCTTTCAATCGCTACGGACAAACACTGGATCGATATGCGAGAAAAGCTACACCACTGATTAGATAATTGCACGATTAATCGATTAATGAGACAATTACGCGCGTGAAATGTTTGTCCGGATCAGCTCGTTCGAGAGAGAGACCGACAAACGCAACTGTTATACATCAGGTTTATATATTCGAAACCGGTCAGGACTGCCGAACGAGAAAAGATTACGTGCACGGGCAACTTTCGCGATAGATCGACATTTTTTCGCGGGCGCCAAATAATATAATGGCTTTCACTTCGCGTACCGCAGAAATTGCGGCTTGTATAATAAGCGGGGCATCACGCGAAAATGAAAAATAATTAATCGGATGCAATTAGCCGCGTTCCGTTTCAGCGCGCTGCACTTCAACACTTTTTAAGGTTGAGATTAATCAGCAATTGCTCATCGCTGTTGTTACGTACATATCGAGTTATGAAAAGTAGTATGCTAAAAAAAGGAAAAGTATATATATATATATAGGAAATATGCGGCGCGATATACATATATATGCGGCGATCTATAAAAAATTCTCATATATATATATATGCATGGAAACAAATTAAAAGATCTCAATTATGATTAATGATAAACAATTTTTAATATACATGCTTACAATGCACGTATATATTCATTCTATATGTTTATAAACTTATCTAACATTTTTAATTGGGCGTTTTCACATTCCTGCCAATTTTATGACTGATTATTATAATCAAGATCATTATAATCAATATCAATGATACTTTTATATGTGTTACAATTATAAATAAAGGTGGAATTGACTATAATATTTATAAAGTAACATTTATTTTTTAAAATAATAATATGTATAACAGAAAATTTAATTAGTGCAATCTGAAAACGAAATTTGAATGTGAAGTGTTGCGTATAGATAAATATAGACAAATTATATCTCGATATAAACAAATTATATAGCGATTATAATTTCAATTGATCGCAGTAACAAACAACCCTTTAAGTCTCTTAGATTTTGTGAGCTTAGATTTCCAGCATAATGTTCCGTAGCAATTGAAATTAGTAGGCTGAGGTAATAAGTAACAAGCGGACGGCTGCGGTGGCGTCAAGGAGGCGATAGGCAATCTATTTAGAAAAGAATTCAGGTCTTTCGTTTCTTTTTTTTTTCTTAAGGCCATTCAACGACTTGTAATTTCAACTCTTTAGAACGAATCAGCATTTGCGCCAAACGTGAAACTCCTTTCCGATGCGAATGCCTCGTTTCTAACGTAACGAGTGGGCCGTAATCAGGACCATGCTTCACCATTCTTGGATCTCCTTCCTTTCTTTTTTCAGATGAGACGAACTTTTCGTGTGGCAGCCGCTCGTGTCCAAATGTAAACTTCAGAGTTACCGTGATTTTTACTTGGACATTGTGCAGATAGTGATTTTCATGAATAGTAATAACTTTCGGTTATTCGGACATTGCCGGTTTCTACCTTTTTCCTTGCAACAAAAAATCGTCTGCATTCAAATGAATGTAGAAAATTGAAGTCGACCTATCTTAAAGCGAGCACTGTTGAAATAAGTACATTACACAGCGCTATCAATTAGCCGAAGATCCCCGTCGTGATCTCGAGGTCAAGACGTCATTTTCACCAAACTTCGTGACTCTCCATCAAATCGCCTTTTCAGATTTCTTCAGCATTAAAAGTTGCGACAAAATAATAATACCTTCAACTTCAAATTGCATTAATTTATCATATAACGTCACAATTTTTAACAGCCAATATCATTCAAAGTTAAAAAGTAAAATAATGATTATAGTATATATTTAATTATCATGTTGCCTCGAAAAAAGTTTGTCAAAAAGTTACCAGGAAACAGAAGTATTTTGACTTACAACATTCCATCTTTAATCATTTTTAAGAAAACTTCTCTGTCATATTATCTTATTATGCTCATTAATTACTACGAATATAATTGTTTGCTTTATTTGTTTAATTATTATCGATCGATTTTTCTGACTATCACAGACTTTCGTGAAACACTCCGAAGTTTCGCTTCATTCGATGAAGGAATGTTTGTCTCTATAATCTAAAACGTGAGTCCATCTCGCAATCGCGGAACAACGATTCATCACTGACGAGAGTTGTCCAATTAACTAAAGTGATGATCATTCTGAGCTACTATTGCTCTGTTGCTGTCAGCACTGCACCTGCGCCGTCTACCGTAACCGGAAAGGACTCCGCCGTAAGCGTTAGCCGTGCGAACTATGCAACGTTCGTGCATGCCGTGCACCACGCCTGCAAGAAAGAGAGTTGTATCGTAGATGACCAGGTAACCCGGGTGGTGCTCGGTTGCACTTGGTGTGGCCCGTCGCGTAGAAGCCGAGCGTGTAGGCCAACGCCGCCGCTGGTGGGGCGGGAGGAGTAGGAGGCTGCGACCATTAGACGTGGACATAGCCGCCGAATACAACTCACAACGGGCAACCTTTATCTAACGCCGCTATAAAGGGGACGCCCCCCTTCGCCCCCGAACCAGGTGGTGGGACTACGGCTACGCTACGGCCGCTCGGTACGCGGTACGTGGATTATAGGTTTTTCTGGAGGGAGGGTGGTGGAGCGCCTTGCTTGCTTTCGAAAGGATGGTGATTGTGGAGCGTGTCCAGAGTAGAGTTAGGCGTATATAAGGCCCGCCGGCCCGGCCCAAGTCAGTCATTCACCGGACTACCAGCCCAATACACACACCAAACATGAAGGCCTTTGTGAGTATTCCACAACGGGGGGGGGAGGGTTGGTGAGGTGTTCGCGAGGTGTTTAACTCCGTAATCTCTCGGCTTTATCATTTTTTCGCGCCCTTCGATCAAATTTTATTGCAATTCTGCATTTCTTTGTACTTGTATTTGATCTTTGCTCGCGATTCTGTTGCTCTGACAAACGGCAATTCGTTTACTTTAAAATCATCGTGTTTCTTCAAGATCATCGTAGTCTCTTGATCGGATACTTGTCTTCGTTGCCGTGATTAAACAGTGTTAATCTCAAAACTCTGAACAATTCTTAAACTGCTTTGAGTCCTTAACGGTATTATTCGTAAATTCTCTGCTCTTCTTGTCTAATCACTGCGAAAGTTTATCTCTGCAAGCGTTCATCCCCGTAATGTTTCGTTCTGGCGCTTTTTAATTGAAACCAAACAAAGAAATTAAATTAATTCAAGATTGCATTTAGAGAGATCCTGCAAGGTATCCGCAAACGGAAAGTAAACACGACAGGCATATAAGAGCTTTCGTTAGATAATGCACGTCTCTCTATTAACATTGTACCGTTACGTTTCTTTGCTTCTTATTGCATCCGCGGTATAACCGACGATGATTCAATGTCACGGTTGGGATACTCTCGCCGTTTTTCTCCTCGCAGACAGACAGACGCACAAACAGACGAACCAAGATGACTTTCATTCATAAAGCAAAGAAATCTTACCGCATCACGCGTCGACCGCTCTCGGCGAAAACCGGTTATGGTAGTATCATCATCGCCATTGAGTAAACGGACTAACTCGCGACCGGTTCTATTCCGCATAGGCGCATCTTCATTCACAAATCGCAAGAACGATCGATTGTACATACCTTATCGCCTCGTCATCCTCGCGCTCTCTGCCGTCGCATTTCTCTCGACTTTCCCCGTCGTTTTACGTACGCCGCGTCCATTGACTCGAGATAACGCCGGAATTACATTTCTACTTCACTCGTCCTGGAAACGTAAGGCGCGTTAACTTGCGTATCATTATCTTAATAACTGTAACATTAGTCGCATTATCAGTAATATTCTCGATAACGATATCTCGATCGTTATTACGACAGATCTCAGAATGTCTTCGTAATTCCTCATGGTCGATGGAAATGTACTCGGCGCTTGATCGCGCAGGCGATTTTGAAATCAGCACGATCGATCCTTTTCCGATCGCGAGGTCGCGGGAACGCTCGGTCGGCCACGTCACACGAGCGCGGCCGCGAGATAGTCGTTCATTCCGCGTAAACGGGATGTGAAAGTTTCACATCTTTCAAGTTAGACATGCATAATTCCAGGCCGCGGTGCCATTTAAGTTTGCAACAGTCTCAAACCGGGCGTGACACACGCGTCTAATACCACTCGCACGCGATCGCGAAATATCGATTACGTACGCCGCCGATATATCTAATCAGCCGTACGGTTCTACGGTCGCGCGAAACAACACTTCCTTTCTAAACGCCACTTCCCGTATTACGAACCGCGAGCATTACGACTTAAACGACTTAAATCTCGCGAGACATGACGTAAGTCCACGCCGAAGTCCAGTTCTCTGATATGTTCCAAAAGATTTCTTAGAATTCCTAGAGAATTAAATCCTGATTAAATACATTACTGTTTCGTGACTAATTACGAGAAATTAAGTCTCTCGGATGTGAGAAATCACACGACTGCTTATCGATTAATTATTAATCTCGTGCAATATCTCGTATTGCACCGATTCATGCGGATTTTATGTAATCGCGACTACTACTTTTTTTACGATTCGACGATACGTGTTGCGCGTGCACCGGCCTATTAACGGGACTAGAAGAGTTTTCCTAATACGGTCATCAGGAGTGGTGATCAAGGTAATCGACACGGAGGGAAGGGGGAATCGTGGCGCTATCAAGCTGATTACGAAACGTTACAGTGTATATAGTTACGAGTATCTAATCTCGTCGATTTTCCCGTCGATGCATTCGCACGCTTTCTCATTGCATTTTCATTCACGTAATCGCGCCGCCCTCGCAGTAAAACAACACGAATGCTCAAGAGGATCTAACTCAAGAAACGAGATCATCTTGGCGATCTAGAAACCTTCTCTTGCGCGAGGCCGTTTCCGTCATTTTGATGTTCGCGATCGCGAATCGACGTTCGTGGAAATCGAAAGTGAAAGCCGCGATTATATTGCTCGGACTTAGCGGTAGTCAAACCCGGTAATCGGCGCGAAGCCAATGGAAATCTAGATCCGTAACAACGATAGTCCCAATGCGCGCTCACAAATCGCTTCCGTAAACCGACACTCAAGAGTTGATGCAATACCTATCGTTTAATCTTAACTTGAATATCAGTTTTTTGTCCCACATTTTCGCGAATTTGTTTTTCACGTTGACTGACACTTCGCATCTCTCTTCCAGATTGTGTTCGCCTGCTTAGCCGTTGCGACGGCCCGCGCCGGTATCGCCCACGGCGGATATGGCGGCTATGGTGGCTATGGTGGCTATGGTGGTGCCGGTTTGGCCATCACTGGACAAGGAATCCATGGTGGTGGTGCCGGTCTGAGCGGTGGACTCGCCGCTGGTGCTGGAACCGCTGCCTCCCTCCAGGGTGGTGCCTCCAGCTTGGGATCTGGTGGTCTTGGTGCCAGCTATGCTGCTGGTGCTGCAGCGGCGGCTGGTGCTGCTGGAGTTCAGCAGATCGTTTCTGGTGGTGCGTAGCTACGTACCAAATCTAAATCTTTTACCAGCGTAACAATGCAAGACACATCGATGTTGAACAATCGCTCGCTCTTCTCGCAGGAGTCATTGGTGGCAGGTCTGACATCGGACCCGCTGAGGGACCCAAGGCCAACGTTGGACCCCAGACCGGACCATCTGATCTCGTAGGACCCCAGGAGGGAGCCAAGTCCGTTGGTGGACCTCGCACTGGACCATCCAGTCTTGTAGGACCTGCTGCCGGCCCATCCACCCTTGTTGGACCGTCCCAGGGAACCGCTACTCTTGTTGGACCATCCCAGGCTACCGCTAACCTCGTTGGACCCAGCTACGGAGGTGTTGCCTTCTATGCCGGAGCTGGTAATGTCAACGGTGATGATGGAAGCTCTGGAGCTGCTGCTAACGCCGCGCCTGGTGGTGGTCTCGGAGGCGGTAATATACATTCAAATAAAACATTAATTTAATATAAAAATATTTAAAAGTCAATATAAAATTTAGCCTTTCTCTTATTTATCTATTTATATATACCTATCAAATATCGAGCTGTATGCTAATGATATTTTATTCAACAGGTCTCGGCCTTGGTGGCGCTGGAATTGCTGTCATCGGTGGCGGTGCTGGACTCGCTGGTGGCCTCGGTGGCGGTGATGCCGGAGTTGCTGTGATCAACGGACCATCTGGCGCCATCCACGCCGGACTCGGTGCTCACGGAGCCATCATCCCCGCGCCCATTGGCAAGTGGTAGACGTTTTAAGACCCCAGCGATCTCGGCTCGGCGACGGCGGCAAACCCACCACAGTCACTTACCGGTCTCGAACGATCCTCAAACGCGCTCAACGTCTTCTTCCCAAAGCTTCGTCCAGTCTTGGAACATGATCGGAGCACAATTGGCGCTAGTGATATGATCGTCAGACACTCGGAACACACACGAAACGGTCGATCGGTCGTACTTATGTACACCGCGGACCGATAAAACGCGATCCGAAGGACAAATGGATAAGACTGTTGAGAACGGCACCGAGATTTCGGCCACTCGTGATTCGCGGCTCCGTGTCATTTTCTCCTCGTTCTCGACCCGCTACAACCGGGTAAAATTTAGTCAATTACCGTTCATCGCGAGACCAACGATAAAGGAAACTCGGCACGGGCCGTGTTTTACCGTTCTCGGCAACACGAACACCTCGTCGTACCTCAACGGACTTTGACGCGCATTCCGAATTGCGACCGTGTGACACAAAGCCACCCGTATCACACGCGTATCACACTGCACCACCATGGACCTAGCAAGTGGACAAGCTTTGGCACTTCGTCGTCGAATCAACTGGATCTGTTCTGTTTTCTGAACACCCACCGTTGGTCCGGCTGAACCTTCTTCTCTTACGTCTTCCACCATCCGTAAGGCCGCCGCTCTTCACGCACATATCTATTTCTCTCTTTTTTCACGGATCGATCGCGTCAAAGCGCACGTTCCCGCATGTTGTTATACTTGCTATACCGCCGCACCACAAGCATACATATTATTATTACTCGCGTTCATGCGCACATATGTTCTTTTTATATATATATGTATACATATTATTACCTATTACTTTTCGCGCAT